TTTCCCTCAGGGCTGGCTCAGTTCTTAGCATCCAAAAAGAAGAACACGTCCTTTTGGGGAGCTCCAGCCTTCTTGACGACTGCCCCGCCTGACACTCATTAGCTCCCGTTGGGTTTTTCAGCTTTGGCAACCCACTCTCACCAAGCCGACCCTACTAGCCCCCACAATTCTGTGGCGAAACTGGATCTTCATTTCCAGAGTATTTTACTTTTCTAACACTGAAAGGGGGCTGAAAGATCACAAAACATGATTTTGGAAAGGAAAAAAAAAGTACCCTAATTTATCACGCTTACAAACTAGTTTCCTTTGTGTCAACAGTGTGTCCTTGAGGCCAGCAGGTGGCGCAGTGGTTAAGGTGCTGACTCCCACATGGCTGACCGTGGTTCAAGTCCTGGACCTGGTGGCTTGAAAATCACACTGGGTGTATATGTGTGTATGTGTGCCCCAAATCCCGGGAGAATGGAGGAGAGGGGATTGCAGCTTGGGCATTCCCCTGAGGGGTGATTTCTCACTTTCTCTTTTATTGTCTCTCTCTGGCCCAGCACATGTGCTCTATGGCAAAAACCTGAAAAAAAGAGAAAAGTGTGCTCTTATCTTCTTAAAAGCTCCCTATGGACTGTTCTTCTCCTTCAGTTCTGTTGATCTGCTACTTCAGACCTCCAGGTCACCTCCCAAGGCTGCTTAGCCACATCACCGCCTGGACGGTGGCCCCCAGATGGCAGGGACTGTCTCCCAGGATCCCTCCTCACAGGTGTGCCTGTCTCACCCCATCCTCCCTTCAGTGAGTTCTTCCTGACATGGGCTTGGTGCCAGGCACTGCGCAAGGTCTGGGGGATGCACACAGGGGAGGACACACACCCCCTGCTACCAGAGGAAGATGTAGGAGGAAGTCTTTGACCATGAGGACATGTCAGGGAAGTGACAGCAGCTGCTGGGACTTCAGTAGCACAGAATGGGGTGACCTGAGTGACTGCAGGGAGGCTCCACTGAGGAAGTGATGCTAAAACTGGCCCTGAGAAGTAAGCCAGGGCAGGCCAGGTGAGGTGCGGGAGGAGCGTGGCACCATTGCGGGCAGCAGCACACACACAGGCCTGGAGGAGTGACACAGGCTCATCCAAAGGCTGGTCACCTGGGGTAGGGGCATGGCAGAGGAGGCAGGAACCGTGACCGTGTCTCCTGAGCCGAAGAGCTGGGCTCGGGTCAGCCCTGGCACCCACGGTTCAGGGGCTAAGGGGCACACCTTGTTGAGCCGCTGGATCTCCTTCTCCTGGTACTCGCGCTGCCGGGTGAGCGGGCTCAGCTGATCCTGCAGGTACTTGACCTTCTGACGCAGCTCTCTGGCCTCTGCTGTCAGCTGCTCCTTGTCGGTCTGCAGGGAACACGGGCTTGGTGAGCAGGGAGCTCTGCGGGGGACCCTGGACTCTGCCCTGCTGCTGTCCAGCCTCGCGCTGCATGGCGCCCCCTCTCAGCTGTCATCCCACAAAGTTCATGTGTACAGCACCTGGGGTCAGCGTGGTAATGCCACTAAGGTCCTCCCTGGAGGAAGAGGTGGTTGCCTTGGTTGAATGGAAGGTCCTGGGTTCTCTCGCCAGCATCTCCGCTGACCAGCAGAGACCAGGGCACTGCTGCAGCCCTCTCTGGTCTAAGCTTACCTATCTGCCATGAGTGTGGGGGCCTTAGGAGGGGCTGGGAGCCCTAAACTGAATGCAGAATTTTATCAGTGAGCCATGCTCTAGAGAGAAAAGCCATCCAGTTTTCACCGGCTTCACACAGAGGTGGTCTGTGATCCACAAGTCCTGGACCTGGTGGCTTGAAAATCACACTGGGTGTATATGTGTGTATGTGTGCCCCAAATCCCGGGAGAATGGAGGAGAGGGGATTGCAGCTTGGGCATTCCCCTGAGGGGTGATTTCTCACTTTCTCTTTTATTGTCTCTCTCTGGCCCAGCACATGTGCTCTATGGCAAAAACCTGAAAAAAAGAGAAAAGTGTGCTCTTATCTTCTTAAAAGCTCCCTATGGACTGTTCTTCTCCTTCAGTTCTGTTGATCTGCTACTTCAGACCTCCAGGTCACCTCCCAAGGCTGCTTAGCCACATCACCGCCTGGACGGTGGCCCCCAGATGGCAGGGACTGTCTCCCAGGATCCCTCCTCACAGGTGTGCCTGTCTCACCCCATCCTCCCTTCAGTGAGTTCTTCCTGACATGGGCTTGGTGCCAGGCACTGCGCAAGGTCTGGGGGATGCACACAGGGGAGGACACACACCCCCTGCTACCAGAGGAAGATGTAGGAGGAAGTCTTTGACCATGAGGACATGTCAGGGAAGTGACAGCAGCTGCTGGGACTTCAGTAGCACAGAATGGGGTGACCTGAGTGACTGCAGGGAGGCTCCACTGAGGAAGTGATGCTAAAACTGGCCCTGAGAAGTAAGCCAGGGCAGGCCAGGTGAGGTGCGGGAGGAGCGTGGCACCATTGCGGGCAGCAGCACACACACAGGCCTGGAGGAGTGACACAGGCTCATCCAAAGGCTGGTCACCTGGGGTAGGGGCATGGCAGAGGAGGCAGGAACCGTGACCGTGTCTCCTGAGCCGAAGAGCTGGGCTCGGGTCAGCCCTGGCACCCACGGTTCAGGGGCTAAGGGGCACACCTTGTTGAGCCGCTGGATCTCCTTCTCCTGGTACTCGCGCTGCCGGGTGAGCGGGCTCAGCTGATCCTGCAGGTACTTGACCTTCTGACGCAGCTCTCTGGCCTCTGCTGTCAGCTGCTCCTTGTCGGTCTGCAGGGAACACGGGCTTGGTGAGCAGGGAGCTCTGCGGGGGACCCTGGACTCTGCCCTGCTGCTGTCCAGCCTCGCGCTGCATGGCGCCCCCTCTCAGCTGTCATCCCACAAAGTTCATGTGTACAGCACCTGGGGTCAGCGTGGTAATGCCACTAAGGTCCTCCCTGGAGGAAGAGGTGGTTGCCTTGGTTGAATGGAAGGTCCTGGGTTCTCTCGCCAGCATCTCCGCTGACCAGCAGAGACCAGGGCACTGCTGCAGCCCTCTCTGGTCTAAGCTTACCTATCTGCCATGAGTGTGGGGGCCTTAGGAGGGGCTGGGAGCCCTAAACTGAATGCAGAATTTTATCAGTGAGCCATGCTCTAGAGAGAAAAGCCATCCAGTTTTCACCGGCTTCACACAGAGGTGGTCTGTGATCCACAGGTTATGAACCACTGACGATCCCACAGAACCTTTCAGCTCTCAGTCTCTTAGCTCAGAGTCCACACAGACATCCACGTAGCATGAGACAGACAGTGTTCTTCTAAAGAGAAACAATAAAGCACTGTGGAATTAAAAGAAAGATCACCACAGTGGAGAAGAAACCATGGAAGGCTTCAAGGTAGAGGCACCACTCCCATACCTAGTATGGAACATAGGGAATGACTCTTAGAGAGCATCAAATTCTAGCCCCGTATGTGGTAAGAAATTAACATCCAGAGAGGGGAGAGGACTTACCTAAGGCCTCAGAGGGACCTAGGGCTAGAACCCAATTTTTTAATTCCATTGCTCTCTCCTCCTTCATGTCAGAGGAAGTGTTTGTAACAGGGGAAAACCAGGCACAGCTGAAATAAACTGTATTTCTATGGCCATAGGTCTGAGGAAGGTCTGGAAACAGACACACGAAATGATAATAGAGGTTGTCTCTGGAGAGGGCCTGGAATTGAGGTGGGGCAGATGAAGTGGTCTCGGGAGACTGTCCCTTGCTCTGTATTGTGTGACCATTTTATACCTAGGTACAACATTGACATCATGTGGGTCAGCAGATGGGTCACGGGGTTCATTTTCATCCGGCCCTCTGTGACCTTTAGTCAATATTCTACCAACTGGCTGCTGAGCTGTTTCTAGCCAGGGATTGCACCGGTCAGGACCTGGGGGAGTGCGTCCAGAGTCCCTGATTAACAGGCTCCAGGATGAAGCACGGCTGTCCCTGCCTCCTTATCTACAGGGCCAGGCTCTGGCTCCAAACGCCCACCTCCCCTGCTGCCAGGGAAGAGCTGGAACATTCCAGGGGGTTATCACACCTACTGAAGTGAGCGAGGGAATCAGACACAGCGCCAGGGTGGCTGGCTGCATGTCACGAGGTGTGGCTGTGCACACATAAGACAGATAGACTGCCCTCCCTAGGCACAGCTCAAGGTAAGGGGTGGCCACGGCCCGCACGATAAGGCCCCTGGGTGTCACAGAGAGGGCAGTGCCCCGTGATGCAATCTGTCGACGATGTCCATTTGGAAGCAAGGCAAAATTAGTCCGTGCCCAGCTCCCATGAGGGGCAAGACACTGTGACAAATAAAAGCTCGAGTCTGGGAGTCAGGGACCTTTCTTTAAACTGCTCCTGGACCCAGTGGGGCCCTGGCTGGTACAGTCACACACAAGGCAGAGCAGAAGCTACTGATTCAGGGGGCCTTTCCTGGCTCACCACGCTCCACCTGGCCCCGAGGGCTCCTCTGATCCCTGCAACCTCTCCTTTGTGGAACTGAACACACCCTTCCCTATTTGTTTCTGTGACGAGGTGTTTAGCCTCTCTTTCCCATGCAGGGCAGGGCTGGACGGTTCACGCTGCATCTCTAGGTCCCATACTGGTAAAAAACGACCCGATGGAAGAATAAAAGGAGTTTTACCTAAGGTTTGAGCAGCCTCCTACCCAGCAAGTTGCCATCACTGCTCAAGAACATTTAACAGCCCTCCTCTACCCCACGGCTGCCCCGCGCCGAGTCCGCAGAGCAGGCCTGCCTGCTCCCTCTACAGGTGCCTGGTCTATAAGACTTCAATTCAACAAGTTCTGAGTGAAAGCAAAATTTGAAAAGCAATGGCAAATCCAGTCTCGAGTTTTCAGGTGGGAAACTGAGGCACAGAGAAGGAAAGTACTTTCGCCCTTTAGCACTAGAGCTAGAACCCTGGTCTCCCAACCCCTGCCCCAGCCCCATCCTAGGCTTGTTTATGTCACTGAGCTCTCCACTGCTGAAGGACAGGGGGAGCGGAGTGCGGGAACCTGCGGTCACACTTGCCTCTTCCATTTCAATCTTGGACTTGGCCAAGAGGAGCTTGCGGTCAAAGTCCCGCTGCTTCTGCTCCCGCTCGGCCTCCAGGTCGCTCACTTGCTTCTGCAGGTCCGCCAGTTTCTGCCGCAGCTCAGTGATCTGGATCAGGAGGTGAGACAGTGTGTGCCAGGGTGCAGAACGGCTGGGATGCGAACGAGGCTCAGATTCCACCGAGCCCCCAACACTGCCCCATCCCGGGGCTCAGGAGAGCCCCCACTATGCACTCAGAGCTGCTGAGAAGGAAGCAGCAAGATGAAGAGGAGGGAACGCCCCGAGCGCGGCCAGGAGCCCCCGCACTACCTTCTGCTCACACTGCTGCTTCATGGACCGGAAATGCTGGTCCCACTGCTTGTTCACCTCCAGCAGCTGTGGGGAGACATGGGGGTTAGCAGGCGAGACTGGGAAGGAACAGGAGCACTGACTCCCTGCTCTCCACACCGGCTGCCCGAGGTGCGTGCAGTGTGAGCGAAGGGGGGCTGCGACCCTGCCTTGAAAGCTCACTTCTCACAAGTGCAGGGTCCCTGAAAGTGACTTGCTGTTATCATCGCGCTTCACTCGAGACGAAGTCAAGATTCACACTAAGACACGGAGACAGAATGCACACCATTTAGGGTACAATTACGGAACACGCCTCTTCAGAGAGCAGCTAGGGCCTAGGTATTCACATGCCACGTCTTCAGTGTTTGTTTTCTTTAAAGAATTATTTAATGTTATTTCTTCTTCTTATTATTTTTTTACATTTACTACAGGACACGTGCATGAGAGAGAGACAGAGAGAAAGAGACAGACAAAGTGAGAAAGCAAGGACTCGAACTATAGTCGGCCATATGGGAGTCCAGCACCTTAACAACCACGCCACCTGCTGGCCCCACATTTTCAGCGTCTTTAATCCAATAATTCTACTCTGAAAAATTTAACCCACAGAAACACATGTGTGTAAACATGCACACATATACATATAAGGCTGATCACCTCAGTAATGTTTGTTACCAAAAAATCCGGAGGCCAACCTAAGCCTAAGAGGTAGGTTAAGTAAGCTCCAATATAAACAGCTAGGGTGCAGCTCTTAAGATAAGGCATTAATACATTTCCTCAGTTCTAGGATGACACTAATTATTTGCTGTCCTCTTAACGTAACAGCAATTCCTCAGGGAAAACAAAAAACAACCCGACCTCCTTAAATAAATAAAACAAGGAGGAAAGGTATTCCGGTTTTAGCAACATTATATATGATAAAAAGCAGGAAGGGCCCAGCTGGTGGCAGAGTGGTTAAGGTAGCTGGATTCTACATGACTGACTACACGGTTCAATCCTGGAGCCAGTGGCTTGAAAAACATGCTGTGTGTGTGTGTTCCTGAAAGGAGGGAGAAAGAGATGATAAGGGATTGCAGTACGACCATTCCCCGTGGGGGAGGTGCCTTCTCACTCTATCTGTCTCTCTCCAGCAAGCTCTTGGGCCCTCTGGTAAATTTTTTTTTTTTTTTGCAAGGTTTTTGCTATAGGCCGTGTGTGCTCACCAGAAATACAGAGAGATAGAGAGACAGAAAGTGAGAAATCACCCCCCATGGAGGGGATGGCCACGCTGCAATCCCTTCTCCATTTTCCTCTCAGGATCTTGGTCGGGCACGCACATGTGCCTGGCTTGAGTTTAAGTCACTCGGTCCAGGACTCGAACCGCAGTCGACTACAAGTAGAGTCCAGCAACGTAGCCATTATGCCAACTGCTGGCCCCCCTCTGGTAAATGTTTTAAAAAAGGAACTAAGAATTGAAGAAATGCGGCATATATTATAGATGTGAATAGATAACCTCAAAGACAACTGATCTGAAAAGAAAAGAAGAAAAAGTAGTGTGTTGAATGGCGTGTATAATTTTATTTTTCTGAGAACAAAGCAAAACTGAGGAATATGCAAGAAACTGTTATTAGCTGTGGTTTTTCTCTAGGAAGTGAGAGTCTTGTTTTCTCCCCCCGTTCTTTTTTATAGTGAGCATTATATTACCTTTGAAATCGAAAAACAAAAACAAAAACAAAAAACCCCCACTTTTCTAACGATACAAAAGCAATCTAGAATTCCATGCACGTGAATCAGTGTTCAAATGTGCTGGAGGCCAGCGAGGCGGAAAGTCGGGGGTCTGGAGAAAGACCCAGCTGTGGAGAGGAGGGGCCTGGAACAAACGCCCAGCAGACAGGAACTGGGCTTCGACCTGGGCTCTACAAAGATGGCCTGGACTCTCGGTGGGAGGTGGGGGAGGAGCATGAGCTCCCTCCCGACGGCCCTACCTGGACTGGCGGCATGGACAGAGAAACCCTCCGCTTTCCACGCCCAATCACAGGGCTTGCCTAACCCATCACGACTCGGTCCGCCATCCAGGTTTACCGTGAGGCTTCCTGAACTGCTCCCTGCCCACAACGATCTTAGGCAGCGCCCCCCCAGTGCCACTCTTTCAGTGACACCTGCAAGCAGGGGTCTGCTCAAGAGAGGGCAGCCCAGAGCAAGGTGGCAGGCCTCCTCCCCGGACAGACGGTTCAGAGGTCACCATGGCAACTCCCTAGGTGATGTGGGTCCAGGCAGTCAGGAGGCCAGGGAGGGCCAAGGAAGGCCTTGTCCTGCTGGTCCCAGGAGGGGAGAAAGGTCGCCCCGAGTGCCACCCGTCTGGCCACCTACCTCAGTGCGCTGCTGCTCCAGCATCCTCACCTTCTTCTCAGCTGAGCCCAAGGCCCCCACCTCCGGGATCTTACCAGCCATCCCCCCAGCCTGGGGAGAAACACAGAGGGGCCTTCGTCAAAGCCTCACGCAAAATATCTCTCACCTACTCACTGCTCCTCTGAGACCTCTACCCTTACGGCCCCAGCCTTCCTCTTCCTCCCACCCACCAGGACACCACTAACCACCCAGCCATGATCATGCCCCCGTCCTAGAAACCCACTGAGAGGATTATTCCCCTTCTCTGACTCACAGTGGCTGCTACACCACCTTCCTTCTCCTTGTCCCCTGCCCACAGCCACCTGCCCTGCTTCGGCTCTCTCTAGGGCACGGCCAGGCACTCTCCCTCCCCACACATGCACCAACCCTCCTCTGGCCTAGAAGATGAGAGTTAAATATTTTTCAAAGTTTTACACACTTTTATCAAAGTTAGTCTATAAAACATTGATTTAAAAAGCACTTTTGAAAAAATACAGAGACAAGTATAGATGCATATGTATGTACGGTTAGTACACACATCCCTCCCAGCTCTGCCCTCGGAGGGCCTAAAGCAGTGATACTCCAGCCAGAGCCCCCCAGAGCCCACAACTTGGTTTCTAAACACCGTCCTCTAATAACCAGAACCACTTCTCCTTGGAGCAGGGAAAACATATGATGCCCTGGAGCATCTTATAGTGCCAAAAGATAAAGAAAAAAAAGTGTTCAAAATAATAATAATAATAACAATAACAGTAATGTTAATAATTAGGGTATGTCAAAAGGGCATAGGAGACAACTTGAAAAAGCTTCCTATGGCCAAAGCTAGAACAATTAGAACAGCAAAATAAATCACAAAAGTATTGGAATATAAACCACAGTATAAAATAAATATCATTTGAAGGAACCAGCAGTTAGCGTAATGGCTATGTCGCTGGACTCCCACGTAGTCAACCGCGGTTCGCGTCCTGGGCCCGGTGGCTTAAAACTCACACTGGGCGCGTGTGCATGCGTGCCCAAGATCCCAAGATGAGAATGAAGGAGAAGGGATTGCAGCGTGTCCATCCCCCCTGGGGGGTGATTTCTCGCTTTCTGTCTCTATGTCTCTCTGTCTGTCTGGCGAGCACACACGCCCTATAGCGAAAAAACCTCTCCAAAAAAATACATAAATAAAAATAAAAATATCATCTGAGTCCATGCTGACAGACTGAATACGCAAATAAAGCAGAAGGGACAGCCTTTCCTTACGGAAGAACTATCATTAGTACAGGCAGAATGAACGAGGCCGTGCAAAATCACCACTGGGATGCCACAGCAGTAACTGCTGCAGGTGAGACCCACCGTGGATACTGGGTCTCCACAGTGAGTGAGCGGAAGTGTATGGAAAAAACAGTATCTGCATAGCTTCTCAAAGACGAGTGCTTATTGATTAAAAAGGGAAAATGAGTCACTGTACTGTGGAGGAGCTTGAGAGACACCTGACCCGAGTGAGAGCGGTGACGAGTAGTAAGACACACTGACGTCACGTACCCTGATCTGACGCCCTAAGAGGGGCTCAGCCCTCGGCACGCCCTGATATACACAGACATCGCTGCTGGGAGACTCGCACCAGCATCCACAGCCGCAGTCTAGCCGTGAGAACACATCAGGTAAGCCCAAACTCAGGATCAGTCTACGAAACAACTGGCCAGGATGACTCAGAAGTGCCAAGGTCAGGACAGATAAGGAGTGATGAACCGTCCCAGCCCGGAGACCGGGCAATCTGACAACTGAATGCGATGTGGGGTCCAGGGCTCAATCCCAGGACAGGTAAAGGGCACGAGTGCACCGCTGGTAAAATGTGAATCAAGTCTGCAGTTGAGTGAACAGCACGAGAGTTAAATATTTTTACTCCTAGCTCTGACCACTGAGCCACGGTGACGGAAGCCAGGATCATTGGGGGAGCTAGAGAAGGGGATGCAGGAACTCTGGACTCTTTCTGCAACTCTGCTGTAAGTCTGAAGTCATCTCAAAATAGAAAGATTTCATTTTCTCCACATAGGAAGTGCTGAGGTGAAACAACAGAACACAGCAAGAAGCCCAGAAATCAGGCACGACTCTGTCCCCAAGCTCCTCCTTGATGCAGGCCAGGACTCTGCTCCGGGACCCCAAGCTCTCTGGGCCACAATACGATGTGATCGAACAGGTCTCTCTCTGCAAGGCCTGTGCGACCTCTGACATCCTGCAACCCTGTCACCATGGACTTGGAGTCTACTCTCTGACTCCAATTTGTCCCGGAGCCAAATTCTCTCTGTTCTCAGCCTTCTTCCCATTCTCCTCCAGACTCTCCAGAGGCTTGGGGTGGGGTCTGGGGCTGAACTTGTGAGGCTCGAGTGCCCCCAAGAGGCGAAGGTCTGTGAGTGCACATCACAGCACGTGCATAAAGTGGGGCGTGCAGGGGGTGGGGGTGAGGGGCCCTGCAGTAAAATCACAGGCTCTGAGAAAGGGGAAGGATGGGCCTGCCCTTGAACCTGCTGCCTCTCAGAACAAAGCTATGCTCTGCAACAGGCAACAAAGGGGAGGAAGGAAGAGGGGAATGCCAGGCTGGGAGGTGCACCCTGAACCTCCACAAAGAGGACTGAGGGAGCCAAGGTGTCACACGACCTTTCCACACCTGCCACTGTAGCTATAAAACGGAAGAGTCCAGCCCTGCCTACCTTACACACAGAAAGGAGGCCCAAATAAAACCATGGATTTGCAGGTCCTGGGACAACTATATGACCACATCAAAAAAGGAAACTAAGTTATTAGGATAATGGCTACTATTATGCAGGTGCAGTGTTTGCAGAAGACACTGAGCCCTACTTTGCAGCTATTAGGCCCATTAAAGGGGAAAAACCTGTTGGTAAGGAGCTGGGACCCAGCTCTGCAGAAGGCTGGGACTGCAGTGGGCCAGGGAAGTGGGCCAGCTTTGCGGTATGGCTGGAGCACACTAAGGCTGGCCAAAGCCCTCCTGAGTCCATCAGAGGAGTCAGGGGTGCAATGGCAGGAGCTTACAGAACCCCAGAGGAGCTTCCTCAACCCCGATTCTGCCAGAAATCTTACAGATGGTAAAATGCCTTTCGGGAGCTGCCTTTTACAGAAAACCCTGACAAGCTGACGTGGGTTTAGGAAGATGATCAGGCTGAGTAACGGACTCATCACCACCTTCTATGAGAAATGGCGCCACAGAATGGGAGCTGTCTACCCTGAAGAAGAGAAGGTTTGAGGGGGTCAGGCAGACACTGTTATTGCCGGTAGCCTCTGAGCACGTGTCCCTGGAAATGAGATGCCCCAGAGGGCTGAAGGCAGAATAATGGCTGAGGAGTGGAAGCTCCAGGGAGAAGGATGTCAGGTCATGGTAGGGAAAAGCTCTCTAGCACCTAGAACCTTCTACCAGTGCAACCATGTGCAGAAGTGGGAGGCTCACTGGTACTGGAAGTGACGGAACAAGGGGGGTGCTGACACTCAGGGGTGCTACAGAAGGGACTTCAGACCACATACCTGCTGCTGCCCGGCCACACCCTTCTTGCCTCCGCCTTCCATCTTCGGTGAGCCTGGCTGCCCACAGGGCCCCTCTTTGTTGCTGCCGCTCATCAACAACTTCTTGAGCTCCATATTTTCCTCCCTGGGTTGGAGGCAAGCAGATGTCACGATGCTGGCACTGGGTGAGGAGCCCATGGGGCTCTCGACCCACTGTCACACAAGCTGCAGTTGAGTTCTGACCTGGAACAGCCAGACCTGGAACACTGCCTCAGGGAGAACCCGAAAGGGCATCCTTAAACCACCGTTCTGGCCATCTGCAGGCTTCCCTGGGAGTCTCTGATCCTCGACAGCTGGGTTTCCCCAAGTGCTAGGCATCCATAGTCAGGAGGTACTTGGGATACACCCTGGCACTGCGTGAGATAACCCTGGACCACATCCTAGTGCACAAGTTACACCTTCCGGTCTCTGTGTCGGGCATGGCGGGAGTCCAGGCTCGGAGTTAACGTCTGAGCACCCTCTGGTCCTTGCCGGTCTCCCTTGCTCACACAGGAAAGCAGGCTGCAGGCTCAGGGCCTGCGGTGTGCAAGGGCGCCTTGCTAGAATTTAACAGCTTTTCCTTTTCGCTGTATTTGTTTTTAGAGTTATCTTCCAGATATTAAAGGTAATTTAGGGGACCAGCAGATGGCATAAAGGTTATATAGCTGGACTCCCACATAATTGATCACGGTTCGAGTCCTGGACCCGGCAGCTCAAAACTAACACCAGGCATGGGTATGTGTCTGCCCAAAACCTCGAGAGGAGAATGGAAGAGAAGGGACTGTGGTATGGCCATCCCATCAGGGGTGATTTCTTGCTTTCTGTCTCTCTGGCGAGTACATGTGCCCCCTATGGCATAAATCTCTCTCTAAATAAAAAAAAAGTAATACAGTTTTGTGTCAACTCCAGTTAAAGTTTCCTCTATAACAATGTGAACTAAAGCTGAGTCAAAATGAAGTAAAATCCTAAGGAAATAATCGAGCAGTTGATATAGGACTTGACGAAAGTGCTGATCGAGATTCAGGGTGACTGAAATATGAAAAATATTTCTTCAGATTCTATTTTCCAGCTGGGTTTCCACTTGGTGACAGAAAAACCCAAAAGCAAAATAGCTTTCCCAAGATCAGAGAGGGATGTGTCCCCTCGCCTTGTAATCTTTCTTCCGGTGTGGCTTTTGGATGCATGGAGGGAGTCACAGTGGCCATAAATGTAGCCATCCAAAAGTAAATAAATACATGCCAAACTGGTCCACCGATGCAGCAGTTCACATCGCTGTGGCCACATTTTACAAGTTTACATTCCTCCACTTCCTGTTGGTTCTAAGAAGCAACAGGAGAGGGGAAGAAAATGAAGTGGCAAGTCCTGGCTACAACACAGCCCTGTCCTGCATGTATCTGAATCCCGTGAGACCCTACAGACAGTTCCATCAGTTAGACTGTCCAGGACCCCAGGAACTATTGCCACTCCAGTAGAGCTGGTTCTTGATGAGACACTGAAGCAAGTCCCTGTCTCTCTTTGGGGCTCAGCCTGCCCTCTGCACCATGGGAAGTTTGCCTACGTGATCTCCAAGAGCCCTCTGAGTTCTGACAGTTAAGATCAGTGTTCCTCGTGACCAGCACTTAGAATAATGGCTGTGTCGCTGGACTCCCATGTAGTCGACCATGGTTCATGTCCCGGACCCGGTGGCTTAAAACTCATGCCGGGCACGTGCGCGTGCGTGCCCAAGATCCCGAGAGGAGAATGGAGGAAAAGGGATTGTGGCATGGCCATCCCCCCTGGGGGATGATTTCTCGCTTTCTATCTCTGTGTCTGTCTGGCAAGCGCATGCGCCCTATAGCAAAAACCTCTCCCCCACCAAAAAAAAAAAAAAAAAAAAAAAAGATCAGTGTTTCTAGGGGGCAGCAGATGGCGTAGTGGTTATATTACTAGACTCCCACATGGCCAACCACGGTTTGAGGCTCAGATCAGGTGAATTAAAACTCACACTGGGCACATGTGCATGTGTGCCCAAGATCTCAGGAGGAGAATGAAGAAGGAATTGTGATGTAGTCATCCCCCCCCTTCCGGAGGGGGTGGTTTCTCACTTTCTTTCTCACTGTCTCTGTCTCTCTGCAGTAAGCGCATGTGCTTTAAGGCAAAATCCATTAAAAAAATGAAAAAGATGGGGGCCAGCAGGTGGTGTGGTGGTTAAGGGCGCTGGACTCCCACATGGCCGACCGTGGATCAAATCCCAGACCTGGAGACTTACCTTCTCACTTCCCCTCTCTCTCACTCTGTCTCTCTCCGGTCAAATTAAATAAACAAATAAATAAAGTTAAATAAAATAAATCTTAAAAAAAAAAGAAAAAGATGAGTGTTTCTCCAAGTGTGATCCTGGGCCCTCCTACATCATAATCAGAGATCCCTGGTGAAAGGTGGATTCCTCATCAGAATCTCGCTGAACCAAGATCTCAAAGAGGAGGTGAGGGCAGGAGTGTAAACTTGTAATGCCTTCGCTTAACCCCCAACTCTCAGTGATGAAGGTGCGCAATGAAGTCTGAGGTCCGCTGGTTCAGGTGAGGGCCCTCTGAAGCTCTCAGGAAAACAGAGCAGGACAGGATGGTGACCAGCAGGGGGCAGCACAGTCCAGGGCCAACTAGACAACTGCTAGGCTAAGGCGGCAAGTTCCCAAGGAATAAGTGAGGCTTTCGAGGATCTCTATAAACAGATGCTCCCCAGGGTATTAAAAGAACTAGAGAGGAAATACCAAAGAAGCCAAGGAGAAGGACCTGGGGGTCTGACTCCTCAGAGCCCTGAGACTTTTTTCTTTTTTTAGAGAGTTTTTTTTTTTGCTGTAGGGTATGTGTACTCACTAGAGAGACAGAGGGACAGAAAATGAGAAATTCCGGCCCCCACCACCACCCAAGGGAGATGGCCACACAGCAATCCCTTCTCCTCCATTTTTCTGGAATTTTGGGCGCACACACACACGCACGCGCACACACGTGCGCATGTCATGCGTGAGTTTCAAGCGTCTGGGTCCAGGACTTGAACTGCGGTCGGCTATGTGGGAATCCAGCAATATAACCATTATGTCATCTGGTGGTCCCCAGAGCCCCGAGTCCTTATGCCAGAAATCAGTGCTGTGTTCCGCCCTCCTCCTCCTCTGCCCACCCTACTCCTCACCCCTTCCTTCACTGAGGAGCCTGGACTTACCGCAGTCTCTCAGCAGCCTGATCCCGCTGTTCCAGGCCCTTGTCTAGCTTGGCCTTCAGAGCCTCGTTCTCCTTCCGAAGCTGCTCACACAGGGTCTGCAGGGCAGAGGGGTGGACAGAAGAAAAGGTAAGGTACGTCCAAAATGTGTGTTGATACAAAGGGCAGGGGAGAGGCTGCAGCCACCCCGGGCCCCAACTCCAACACCTCATCCCCTTTGCCTGGCCTCACCCTAGTCCTTTCAGGACTGCAGGAAGCTGAGTCACTATGCCCACCGAGTCCACAGTGCACCCTCTTCCCTGGGAGTCGGCTGTGAGAACGCCTGACCCAAAACTGGGCCTTCCGGTCCTCCAAGTCAGGGAGCTCTGTCCCTTCCCCTCCTCCTCCTCCTTTGCTGTTCCCACTGCCTGGAATGCACCTCCCTCCAGTCTCCCCTAGCCAACTTCTCCTCCTCAAGTCTTAGTGTAAATGTCATCTCCTTAGAGAAGTCCTCCCTGCCTCCCACCTCCGCCCGTTAGGTCACCCCCATTACCCTCGCTCACAAGCCCCTGCTCTCACCCTTCTTAGTACTGTGGCCAATAACGCTAAGATCTGTTTGAGCTGCTGTTTCTAACAGCCATTCCCTCACTCCTACTAGTCTATGAGCTCTCAGAAGGCTGGGACCCCTCTAGGCTCTTGTTTGCAAGATCCCCAGCTCCAGCTCAAACTCAGCTGAAGGAACACATGACTGAATGGTGGAAGGAATGAATGAACAAATGAACAAGCGAGTTCCTGGATGCCTGGGTGGGGAGCTGGCGTGCACAGTGTGGGAGGCTCCACATTGTCAGATGGAAAGCTGGGGACAGGGCATTTGGTGAAGCGTCACGAAGTCCCTGTGGAGTAGCTCAGGCTGCATGTTAGAGACTCAGCCCCCTCCTCTACCAAATGGAGACCACTGCTCTGCCTGACTCCTTCACAGGGTTGCTGTGAAGGACAGAGAGATTGCGAGTGGGAGTGCTCGCCAACGGTCACTTGACAAGTGAGGACTTGGGCTGGCAGTGCTGGGAGGTTGGGGGCCAGACCCAGGCCTCAGCAGAGGGTGGGGGAGGGAGGGTGCTGGCTGGCCACAGGGAGTATGGTGTTGGTGTCGGTATCAGCATGAGGCTGTTTGACCTTTCGGTGGTGCTCACTGAGCACCTAACAAGTGCCGGGATGCCCAAGTGCTTTGCCATACACGGCCTCACTGGTGCCTATGACTTCCCCAAAGCGAGGAACTTCACCTCTACTTTGAAGACAGGGAAGCTGACATAGAATAATTTGCACCAGGCCATCTGCTCCCTTCTGCTTCCCAGGCTGGCAGCATGTGACTAGTTCTGGCCAACCAGAGGAGTGCAATAAGCTCCACCACCCCCCTCATCCTGGGCCAGCTCCGCACAACTCTGCTCTCCTCTCCCCTGTGTGGGCCCATGTGGAAGCTTCCTGTTCCAGCACACTGGGTGGGGGTGAGACAGAAACCGGACCCCATTTACAGGTGGACAGAGTGGCTCCCCCACACGCAGAGGGACAACTCTTCTCCCATCACACATTCCTTTGATCTTGGATATGTAAATCCTGTTCTTGAATAATTCATGCCCAAAGAGCTTTTAGACAGAGACTCTCCTAACCTTTGTACCCACTCTAATTAGAATTGGACCTATTCAGCATGTGCCCCTCCCTGCGGTGAGCTCGGTTTGTCCCTTTTCCTGAAGATGGGGAGCGTGGGCCAAGTACCAGAGTCTCGCTGTGAGTGTGGGCCCGATCACCACTGCGCCCCCCCACCCCACCCCGTGTTCCTGCATCAGTGGGGCCTCTGCAGCCGGGGGCTCAAAGGGGAACTGTGAAGAGACAAAAGCAACCCCTGCCACTCAGAATCGCAGGAAAAACTGTTATGTTATCCAAGGAGATTTCAGAGTTGTCTCCTTCCTTTATGGGAAGGAAAAGTTTCAGGAAGGCTGAATGGAAGAAACAGCCTTAAGTGGAGGTTTTTTTTTGGGGGGGGGGTGGCCAGACAGTGAGGGAGCCAAGGTCGAAAAGACAAAATTACTGCTAAAGTTTCCGCAAAGCCTAAGAGAGCCCAGGGTTGCATCCAGCCTTGTAGAGTGAACCAAGATGCATATTAATAAATAAATAAGGAGGAACCGGATTAATCTACCTCCACCCAGAGGCTGTATAAACACCTGGGAGGCCATGGCTGGGCAGGGCCTCCAGGGACAGAATGTCCTAGTCACTAAAAGAAGGCCGGACAAAGCCTCTCAGGCTGTCCCACCTCCAAGGCTATTTCCTTGGAGTCTCTGGGCTGGGCACAAGTCTGCCAATGGGGAAAGTCATCAGACCTCTGCCAGGAGGGGAATGCATGCTCAAGCCCCACCTAGAACCTAAGTCCGACAAAGCCCTTGCTGACTCAAATATAAACTCCTCTCCACAGGTCTTCCTTGGCAACGCATTTTCTGGGATCCCTCCCTTCCTGGGAGCTGTTTTCCCTCCTTTCTCTTTCAGTTAACTCCCCACTTTGCTATACCTACTCTCTGTGTCTGTGACTCTAATTCTTCCTGAGCAGTTCATTTGCTCACTGTCTAGTTCATGCACTCCTTCCCCAAGTGTGCTCTAAGTGCCAGGCACCAGGATACAACGGCGAACACAACAGACCAGGGGCCTCCCCACTCATGGAGCTTGTGTTCTCGCAGTTAGTACGAGAAGCAAAATCAGCAAATAAACCACCCAATAAAATAAAGTGATCACACCAGGTGCGTGTGTGTGTGCGTGTGCCCAAGATCCCGAGAGGAGAATGGAGGAGAAGGGATTGTGGCATGGCCATGCCGCCTGGCGGGGGGGTGTTTGCTTGCTTTCTGTCTCTGTCTCTCTGTTTTTCTGGTGAGCGCATGCACCCTATAACAAGAACCTCTCCAAAATAAAAAAATAAATAAATAAAATGATCGCAAACTATAAGAGCTAAAAAGGAAACAGGTGCATAATACAAAGAAATAACAGAGGTTGGCAGGACCCTTTTCCTGAGGCCAAAGATCTACTGCATCCCCACCATAAAGGCAAAGAGCTGATGCCCTGATGTCACCCTAGACACTGCACCAGGTTCACCTTCCCGGGGCTCGGCCTGTACCCCTCCCAGCCTCATCCCATCTGAAAGAGGACCTCTCTCTCTCAGCCTGACACTCCGGGGCCACCAAGGTGTGCTCCAGTCACTTCTCCAGCAAGCCTGCCCTCAAGAGGGATGCTTCTCTGCACTACACCTCCCCAGGCCACATCTCCACCATGACACTCGGTCTGTTCTTGTCAACTCAAGCCCTACCCAAGGTCACGAAAGGTGGACACCCTGCCTCCCATCAACTGGGCACGTGAATGTCTCAGACATGAATGCGGTGCAGACCGCTGGCCGGCACGGGAGGCCTATAGGGAGGACAGAGACTTAAGTCGTAGCTGTCACTAAGGTAACATGCTCCTGAGCAGGTCCTCTCAGAGCCTATTTTGCCATCTTCAGATTGTCACCAATCATACATAAACCCTTCCCTGCTCTCAGAGCTCTCAAGGCAAAGATCCCCTGCCCAGCGGGGATGACTGTCAGCATAGATCCCAGGGGAGACCAGTTTTCCAGCACTTTCTGTGTTCCAGACTGTACGAAGTACTTCACAGCCGTTGCCTCATTTTATACAGCAATCTTGAGAGAGAGGTGTTCCTAGTTCATGTTACTGATAGGGACGGTGGGGACAGGGGGATAAGTGACTTGTCCAAGGTCACATGGCAATAAGAAGTCACTGCTGAGACCAAGGACCCTTCAACTCCAAGGCCTGGCCTGGCCTCACAGGCACAGCTGGCCATCCCCACGGCACAGGGAGGCCGTTAGAGAAATTCAATCAGGAGGCAGGCTGGGATGATGATTCAGGGCAAGGGCTCTGGGACAGGCAGAGGAAGGCCCAATCCCAGCTGCACTATATACCAGCTGGGTGACCTTAGGCAAAACAAATTCATCTTTCAAGGGCTGTTTCCCGACCTGTGACGTGGGGACAGGATGGTTCTTACCACCGGGGTCAGGGGACACAACACAGAAGGAGCAGTCTTGTTCCTTCACTGCCCTGACCCTGCATGCGAAGAGCAAAGGCGGGGGTGCGCCCAAACTGCCCATGTCCACTCGCCCAGAGGGTATCCCCCACCAGGAAATTTGCATCGCCCACCCCGTATTTCCCCACTTCCTTCCTCTTCCTCATCCCTTCCCACAACTTCCCTACCTTGCTCACCACCCTGAACGAGAAGCCCAAAGTCTGCCCGCGACACAGCCCTCAAAGTCCCCACGGCACCTGTGGACTCCTAAGGAAGGTTGGAGGATGAGGAGGGGGAGGCAGGACTGCCTGTGCCTGGGCCCCCCCATGCCCCCCTCACCTGCAGGATGGAGGTGCGCTGCTCATTCTTGTGCACCTTGGAGGCCAGCCGGTTGAACTCCAGGGCCATGCGGCCCAGGTGGGTGAAGAGCTGGCTGTGGTCGGGCTCCTCAGCGCACACGCTCAGCGTGGTCTCCAGGCGCTGCAGGTGCTGCATCAGGTTGCTGTCCTTGTGGGCCAGGGGGCCCAGCTCCTGGTGGAGGGAAGGGCATGGAACACCCTTCACTGAGCAGTCTCCCTCAACTTCCCCATTCCTCATGACTCAGTTTCCCCCTGTGAGCCCAGCTCAGCTAGGGAAATTCTCTAGTTACACAGGTTCCTGTTGGGGTGACTCACAGGGCAGGACTCTCAGGCCACTGCTGGCTTTGCGGCAGTAGAGCAGCTTTCCTCCCACACTCGGCCTTGCTGGGCCTTGATCTCATGTGCAAAGTGCACGCACACCCCTGGCCTAGGGATCTCAGGGGGATGAACTGGCATGAGCCAGTAGCCAGGCAAGAGATGGGCCATGTCTATCTACATACATTCCTGCATTGTTTTAGTATTCGCTACAGGGCTCATGCACTCGCCAGACACAGACAGCACTGGAGAGGGGCAAGGCCACGGTGTAATCCCTTCTCCTTCATTCTACTCTTGAGATCTGGGGCACACATGTACATGTGGCCAGCATAATTCTCAAGTCACTGGGTCCAGGACTCGAGCCACACAACTGGCCATGTGGGATCTAGTACCTTAACCTCAATGCCACTTGCTGGCCCACATCCCTGCATTTTTAGCTCAGCTAGCCATGGAGCCATGAGTTACGTCTATACATCTTATCTGGTTTTTATTTTTATTTTTTAAAGTTTACTTATTTCTTCCATGAGCAACAAAGAGAGGGAGAGAGGGGAAGAGAGAGGGAGGGAGAGACAGTACCCCCGATAGGGTCCTGATGGCACAATCCACCCCAGCCTTCAGCCAACCCTGGATCATGGGCACATGTGTGCCAGGAGTACTGAGAGAGGACTCTAGGACTCTGGAGTGGAACTTGGAATCTTCCCACGTGGGACTGCCTTGCGGAACATCAAGTTTTCCCTCTGTGCCACCATCTGGCCCTCTACATGTGTCTTCTGGGGAAATGGTCCAGGCTATCACCAGCTTCTCAGATAACCAGGCTTGAAACAGGTCAAGAATCCCACCTATAGGTATTTCAAAGAATCCCAACCTCATTCGGTTCACCCTTGTGAAGCGTATTGTGGACAAGATGGTCCATTCTACTGAGAGCTCTCCTACCAAAGCTCCTGCCCTGGTTAGGTCAACGCCATGCCCAAGGACACACAGGGCTCCCCTACAGCAGGCAGCATCAAGCCCAGTTCCCCTGGCAGGCATCCAAGCCCCCACAGCAGCAAGTCCCATCCTAGGTAACATCCGGCAAGGTTCCCCCACCTCCCCTGCCTGAGCCCATGTGCACCAGGGCTGGTCTCTGGCAGTGCCCCCCTGCCTCTCAAGTCTCACTTATCATTCCCTACCCTGCCCATGTTTCAGCTCCAGCAGGCCTCCCCAAAGCATTGCGGGGAGCTCAGGGTTCAGGCTAGAAACCACGGTACAGGGAGAAGGAACTTGCCCAGAGCTGTCCGGTGAGTCAGCAGCAGAGCGAGACCCAGAACCAGGACTTCCTGACTCACAGTCCAGCGCTCTCTGCCATGCTGCCCCACTTGTCTACTCTGTAGCAATGGCAGTACCTGTGACCACAGCCCAGCGCTCAGGGGCTACCCATTCCAAATCGCTAGGAACTCCTCCCTGCCAGAGACTCATTCCCCCACTGCTGCTTTCCACGAGGGATCGGAGGTGGCGAGTGTGGCTCTGGTTATGGTTCATGAAGTGCTTCCAATCCCTGTGATTTCTCCAATGACCTACAAGCTGCCAGCGGGCAGGGGGCTGTCTTGTCTCAGCTCAGCATTGACTAGCACACTGGAGGAGGAGGACGTATTAACGAGAAAAAGTTACTCTGAATGAGGACCTTGCATCCTTGGCCAGCTCTCAGAGCACTCAGGAACAGACAGGTCAAGGGACATAAGGTCCCAGGAGGCAAAACAAAGAGAACCTTCCTAAAACTCGGAGTTCCTGCTAAGTGTGAGGCGCTTCGCACTGAGGGCGGACTTGTATCAGCTGACCACCACTCGATGGGACCCTGCATGGGCACTGGCAGATACACGAGTGACCAGTGAACCGAAAAGCCATGTTTGCCAGCCTAGGCCTTTGTGAAATGAGACAGGAGGAACCAGAGTATCAGTGAACAGTTAGGCTATGTATGGTTTACATATAACAATAAACAAAAATAAGTAAATAGCACTGGTCCTGTGACCTGATGGGTCAGGAGAGAAGAGCCCACATGGTGCCTCGACTCCTAGCCTCAGTGACTTGCAAAACATGTCAGCATGTGTGTGAGTGCCCAAAATTCCAACAGGATGGAGAAATGGAGGAGGGACTGTTGTATGACCATGCCCCACTGCTAGATGCTTTCTCCCTCTCCGTCTCCCTCTCCCTCTGGCAAAGGCATGCACCCTCTGGCAAAATTTAAAAAAAAAAATGGGGCAGGGGGTTAAATAAATAAATAACTTCAAAATGGGAAGGGAGGAAGAAGGAAAAGTAGTTACTTATGACCTTTGAAAGTGTTTCCAGACCTTTCACAATGGTTCTTTATTAAAAAAAAAGAATGGAGGAAAGACAGTTGTTGTAAGGTGTAGAGTGAGAATGCTGGACTGACGCCCCAGGTTGGAAGATAGTGTGTGTGTGTGTATGAATGGAAAATTCACCCTCCCACCTACCTGTGTGCCCTAAAGGGGAGCCTGGAGGACCAAGATCTGCACAGACAGGCAGTCACCTGTCTTAAGCAGCCCTGGGGCTTTCTGACTCCTCCAGCTCTCCCAGACTGGGAGCCCACACACCCCAGGGGCTGAGTCACAGTGTGCGGAGGTGCCCAGTCCTAGAGGCTGATGGCTCTGGCGAAACGCCCAGGCTTTCACAACTGTTGGGGGCCATGTACACCGAGCTGGGGAAGTCACCAACTTTGGGATTTGCCTATGTGAGTGAGAAGCACCCACAAGTGCTCCTGAGTGACTCCCCAGGTACCCAGGGGATCTGAGTGGCCCTGAGCCTCTCACCAGGGCAGGTGACTGAAAGCTAGAGGAAGCAGCAGGACACGCCCAGGACTGTCCACTCACCATCGTGTTTCTGGGGCTGCTGCTGCTCTCTGGTGGGGAGTTCTGCTCCTCAGAGGGGACCACTTCAAATTCAGAGGAGGTGCCCTGTGCAGAAAGGGGGTTAGGGGCTTCCTAAGAGAAAAACACCTCAGCCTTCCTCAGGGGTCCCCAGTTGAGCAGGGAGGGTGCAGCAAACGGGACAGAATCTTCTCCCATCCAGCTCCAGCAGGCAGCCCACCATGTGCAGAGAGGAGCCACCCAGGCCATGCTCCCGGGACAGTTACATGTCAATGCACATGAGCCCACAATCAGGATCCCAACAGGATCCTGACAAGTCTGCCATAACCATGTGATCCAAGCTCAAGTCCCCTCCATGGCCGGTTTCCTTGTCTATAAAATAGGGATGTTGGGACCAGCCAGTGAAGTTGTAAAGGCAGCTGGATCCCACATGGCTGAGTGCGTGGTTCGAGACTCAGACCCAGTGGCTTAATAAATACGCCAGATGCATGTGCATGAGTGCCCAAAATCCCTAGAGGAGAAATGGAGATAGGATTGTGACATGGCCATGCCCCCGGGGGGGTGTTTGCTTACTTTCCCTCTCTGTCTCTGTCTTTCTCTGGTGAGTGCACATGCCCTCTAGCAAAAAATCTTAAAAGTTATATAAAAAAAAAAAGAGAGAGATGTTGGCCTAGATGACCTTGAACCACAAATACTTTTGGACCACTAGCACTTTTTTTTGTTCTCGTGAACTCCATTATTTTTCAAAGCAACCCATGGAGTAGGTTAGATGGTTATACCCTCCAAAGGGGTCATATAGTTAGTTAATACAAACTGACACCGAACCCAAGACTGTAGACCCAGCATTCCTGTGGTGGCACCAGAGCTGTCTTCCAGGCCCAGGTGTCACTGACTGGTCCCACCCGCCATGGCCACGGCCAAGAACGGTCCTGGGCCAGCCTGCCAACGCAGTCCCAGAGCTCCTGGAGGAGTGAACATCTTCAAAGATGAGTCCACACCTTCTCAAATTTACTAAAATGCAGGATTGCCAAGGAATTATAGATCTGATTTTTTTTTTTTAACCCCATTGGCCATTCCATGTAGAATTTCCTGGTTGTTGAACTGGTGGGTCAATGACCCATCTGAACCATCAGCCGGCTCTGGGATTCCCACTGAGTGTGATCTAGAAAGATGATTTCAGTCTCGTCTCCTGGCAGGGGCAGGAAGGATGGGAGAAACTCTGTGCTCAGCTTCCAGGTGAGGCTCATGGCCACCCGACTCTGGGGCTCTGCTCTAGAAAGTCCCCCTGAGTCCTCTACATTCCCTACTTACCTGTGTGACCTCAGAAAAGGCCCTTCTCTCCCCGGACCTGATCTGGAGGATAAGGATGCTAAACCACACATCTCCTGGATCCCTTCCAGTCCTAGGACACCAATGAACACACTTCTCAAGGCATATCTGTGGGTGGTCTTTGAGACTCCTTTGCAAATACGGGCTCCATGTCATATCCATCAGTTCTCCCAACACTGCACACACTTACAGTAATGCAGACTAGCAAATGAGAGAATTCTTGTGGGACCTGGGGTCTTCCTGATCATTTTTACTATGGCTTTCACTTCCAAATGAGGAAACCAAGGCCTCAAAAAGCCCGAGACTAACTTGCTGAATATCAGCAGCGGGTCAAAGTGCAGTTTCTAGGCCCCAACCCATTTTCCTCCCAGGTAACCTTCAGCTATGACTCCAGAGATGCAACTTACGCTGGATGGAGGTTTCTGGACTGGTGCTGGCTTGTCGCTAGGGCATGCTGGGACAGCAGGAGATGCTGGGACATTGGTGTTCTCTCCTAGAGAGTCAAGAGAGGATGGATAAACAGACCAGGAAGGGGAGGGGCCCAAATACCACCCTCTCTATGACAGCTCATGGCAGGAGAGTTTTCAGAGTTCCCCACTTGAGTCTGGGAGTGACAGGAGGCAGTTACGCCAGGACCAGGAAGCCTGAGAAAACGATGTTCCCTGGAGCAATGGGGGGCAGAGACTGGGCAGAGAGACCATCTTCCCTGGATATACTGGGAAACTCGCCATGTGACAAATCCCACTGTTCCTTGCTATTATGGACCAGCCTCAGGGATGACAAGGACAACAATTTACAATGGATAAAGTTTTTTCCTTTATATCTATTTTCCTAGCTATTCTTGTGACAGTCCTGTATCCCATTTTAAAGGAAAAGTAACTGAGGCTTGGGAAGGTGGCCCACCTGCCTAGTCACACACAGCCAGTAACTTCAACACCAGGACTCAAACCTGGCTCTTCCCCCTGACTCCCTGGAGCTCTCTCCAGCTGCAGGGAACTTCTTTGAAAGTAGCTTCATGTCTCATTCAGGTGGACCTGACGCCTGTCAGGGGCTCTCAACACAATGCTGAGTGGACCCCGAGATCGTCACTCCCCACATTGTCCATTCAGCAGGTGTCACCACTAGCTGACAGAGGGCTGTCACACTGACCTGGGCTGAGACCTCAGGTGGAATGTGAAGCCCATGGGTGGGGATCTTTTCCTCCCAAGTCCCAGACCTTGCCCTGGACTAACAAATGTGTTAGCGAAATGTAGGGTGACCACACACAGGACTCTGGCCCTCAGTCACAGTCACCCTTTCCTTTAACAGGTAGTATCCCTTGGGAACCAGCAGTTGGCATAATGGCTATGTCGCTGGACTCCCATGTAGTTGACTGCGGTTCGCGTCCCAGACCCGGTGGCTTAAAACTCACGCCGGGCGCGTGTGCGTGCGTGCCCAAGATCCTGAGAGGAGAATGGAGGAGAAGGGATTGCGGCGTGACCATCCCCCCTGGGGGGTGATTTATTGCTTTCTGTATCTATGTCTCTCTCTGTCTGTCTGGTAAGCGCATGCGCCCTATAGCAAAAATCTCTCAAAAAAAACCCAAAAAACAAAAAACAGGTAGCATCCCTAATCTTGCACTGAATATACATTGCAGCAGGCTAACCTGCAAGTCCTGACTTTCCCTGGGCCTCAGCTCCCCTAACCGTAAAATGGAAAGGGGAGCCCTTTAACTTCTATGTCAACTCGCAGTGACAGGAAGCAGCTGCCTGCAGAACCAGGCCTGGCATAGAGTAGCTGCTCATGACTAAAATGACTGTTGAGTAAATAAGCTGATAAAGATCGAGGCCACACGTGGGTGCAGTGGACAGCTGTGATCCATTACTAATGCCTACCACGGCCTCCAGAGTGCTGAGTCACACGAAGGCCACTTGTTAACAAGATTGTTTTGGGGTCTCCTCCAGAGCTGACTTTCTGGGGCATGCTGTAGCCAAAATATGGGAAAGGTGGCCTAAGGGTAAGTGAAGGGGGTGTGGGATTGGAATGAGAAGGGTGTTCACTGCTAAATGTTTAAGCAGCTTGGGGTGCAGGAAAAGGCTGAGGTACCCACTCTTGTACCTGTGAGCTCAGCTAGGTGGTCGAAGGAACCTAAGCAAGGAGTAGGTGGAGGGGGCAGCTCGTTGTCCTTGACCAGCTCCTCTGCCTTCTGCCGGAGCCTGGATGCTTCCATCTGGGACTCTTCCAAAAGCTCCCCTAGAGAGACAATGGGAAGGGAAGGGGGAAAGCCTTCATTCAGCTCAGTGCACTGTTCTCCCCACCCCATCCCCAAGGCCTATACTGCCCAGACTTTGAGGCTCCAGGCCCTGGCCTTCATCAATCACCATTCTGTGGGCCATTCTGAGTCACTGCCAGAAATGGGCTAGAGAAAGGAAGAGGGCCCAGCAATCAGGGGAAACAGGAATGAAAAGAGACCTAGAAAAACTCCTGGCCCTTGGCATGCCTTCCTGTCCCACTCCCTCCAGAGAGCCGCTGGCCTGGCATCATGGTACCTAGGAGTGACACACGGCCTCAGTCCCCAGAATCAGGGGCTGTCTGTGGAGTGGAAACCCTGGACAATACCAACCAGCCCTCTAGGCCTCAGTTTTCCTTCTCCTGCAGGTGGAGAGGGGAAACTTCCCTTCTCCCTCCCCAGTCTGCTACTCCAAGCACAGATCTGTTAAGCAAGGAGAAAGCATTATAAAAACCAGGAGGTCATGCACTCCCTAACCCCAAAGGCTAGGACCTGAGATGGTGGCAGCAGACAAAGGTAGAGTTTTAGGAATTGGGAGGAAAGAGAGACCCCACAGGATGGAGAAATCAACAAAGCCCTCATGTGGAGAAGGTGCTGTCTGAGAGGGTGCTGATGGATGGGGACTATTCAGTTATGTGGCAGTGGGTGAGCAGTTCTAGGCAGTAGGGGAAGTTTGAACAAACACCGGAGAGAAACTGAAGGGTCTAAGACACCTCGCTTCAAGCTACCTCTGTTCCCTATTCCCACACTGGGGACCTGAGCCCTGGCTGCCCTGGGGGGTTCTGGCTCTCCCCATCTAATGCTTGTGCCTCGGGAAGAAGAGGCCATTCTGGTTCCATACCCAGCTCCTGCTCCTCATCCACGCCTCCCTCTTAGTCCCTTGAGGAACCCTGAGTCCTGTCCTCATAGTTGCAGAGTGCTGAGGAGTAAGGGCTGGGAGTACCGTCACCTGCTCCTGTGGGGTAGCAGCAGTGCTGGGCCAAGAGGGCAGCGGGGATAGAGGCACATGCCGGCTGCTGACAGAGGGCCTGGCGCTGCAGGCTGCAGGGAACGGGAGCTTGCAGGGCGTGTGCAGGGTTTGCTTTACCTAACATCTTTATCCCTTGCATTTTTTCCTTCAGCCGGGAATTCTCCTCCACTAGGCGCTCAAGAGCTGCGGACGCCTCTCCCGGAGACATGCCACCCCCAGGGTCGTAGATCCGGTATGGTCCTCTCCCTTCCATGTGGGCGGCTCAGCCCGTGCCGTGGTGCCCACCTGGCTGTAAGGACAACAGCAGTAGGTCAGGGGGCTGGCCACATCACTGGGGCATTCTTCCTGGGGAAGGTCTTGTCTGTCAGTACCCCAGAAGGTAGTCCCCATAACCCAGAATCGAGCATGACACTGCTGGCTAGTCCATTCACAGTACAGCAGAGCAGGACAGTCACCTCCTTTCATCTGGACACTCTGCCTCTACTGCTGCAACCTAACAGTGGCATCAGTTTCTTACAGCAGGCTCACTGCACTGCTGGCTCATCTGGAATGGCAGCCAACTGTAAGGGCGCAATGCGGGGTATGGGAGAGAACCCAAATGTGGGCTCAAGAAATCTGAATTCTCATCTAGCCTGGGAGGTCCAAAGAACAGAGGCCCTGTCTGTCTGGCCCACTACTGCATTTGTAGTGCTCAGCACAACATGCGCTATGAAGTGAACGCCAAAATCACTTACTGAACTAGTGGGGCTAGCCATCATGTCACTGTGGGATCGTGGGTAGTCCCTCCCCCTCGCTGAGAAGGGGAAATGAAAGTTTTAGACTAAACTAGTGATCTTTCAAGTGAAATGCTTGTACCCTAAGGAATAAGCAAGTCAATCCAATCCAAAGTTCCATTTATATATATGGTATCTTGAACAAAAAAAAAAAAGAAAAGAAAAGAAGAAAACCCCTTGCTAATATTTAATACATGGTCACCCTTCTCTTTCAGTCTCATGTATGGTCTGTCCCTTCCAGTTCTAATGAAGAGGTGAATTTTCCACAAAACCACTATCTATGTATGCAGCAAGTTTTTGGACTAATCTGTTCAATTTCATCTGCTTATTTCACTTGAAACCACTCTGCAAAGTGAATTCGGAATTCTAGTTTTGTGTCTTAGAAGAGGAAATCCTCTTTCTTCCGTAATTCTTTACTGAGCATCTACTCTGTGCCGGGTACTAGTCTGGGTACTCGGGAATGACCAGAAACAAAACTGAGAAAATCCTTTATGGGGCTTATATTCTAGTGGTAGAGTGGGAGGACAGACACAGTATTTCAGGTGATGGAAAAGTCTAGAGACAAAAATTAAGCAGAGAGAAGATGGGACACTCTGACTTAAATGGAGCTGGCAGGAAAAGCCTTGCAGAGAAGGAGCTATTTTAGCAGACCTTTAGGAGGGGAGGTAGTAGCCCTGAAGATAGCTGGGGAAATATTCCAGAAACAATAGTCAGAGCAAAGGCCCTGTGGCTCAAAAAACGTCCCAGCCTCAGCTCTACAACAGCTCACCAACATAAAGGAGATCTAAAGACCTCCACCAGGGACCTCAGGAAGGCTTAGGACCCCCTAAAACCTCCCTTCCAAGATCACCATTCCCCCAAAGCAAAAACTTATTTCAGTCAGGAAGTCTCAAAGGCTCTTTCAAAACTCGCACAGTGCTCACTACAAGGAGAGAGTGTTTTAAAAAGCACTAATATTGACCACCACCATTCATCCATGACCCTCTGCCAGGTCTGACATTAACCGCCTCAGTGCACTATCTGAAGCTGCACGGCGACCCTAAGAGCTGCGTGTGCCAACACCATCCTCATTTCCTAAGGGAGAAACTGAGGCTGGGCCAGGGTAAGTAGCAGTCATGGTCACACGGTCAAGAGGCAAAATCAGTGCTGCCTGTTTAAGGAGGCCGAGACTGTGACCTCTGCCACTCATGACCAGGACGCAGCTCCTTCAGCAAGACTCAGGCCTGAGGGGCAGACATGGCAGCCAGCACCAGGCTATCGAGTAACCTCTCGGCTATTTCCCGCCCTGCGGCACACAACTCACATGTTTTGTTTGTTTGTTTGTTTATTTTTGTTTTTTGTCAAGAGGGTCTCTGGGATGAAATAGGCCAGAAAGAAAAACAAAGTTCTGATGAGCAATACCCTCTCCTCCAAAGAGTAAGATGCAAAATGAACACATTTTGCAAGAGGCACCCACACCCTGCTGGGTCCCTTGATGCAAAGGACAGCTGACCACACACCTGGCACAAAAGTCATCAGTTGACTTAGGGGTGACTTGTTTTTAACTTGAAAGGTCAGTGGACGGGGCAGAGCAGTTGAGCACGGGTGAAGCTATGAATGAAGAGACATGGTGGGTAAGGCACTTAGCATGATGACTGGCCTATGGCGGTGCTTGGAACTGTGGCTGGATGTGGGGGTATCCCTCTCCACGCACCTCTGTCCTCATGTGCCTCCCACCCAGGCCGTGGGCAGTGCTGCATGCGTGTGCCCATCTGGCTGGGAACTTCCTTGGGCAGGAGCATGAGCTTGCATCTCTGTATTCCTGTCACTAAGAGCTAGATGGAGTTCACAAATGGGGAACTGGGAGGACCTGGGAGGAGCTGAGAGCCACTTTTAGTGACAAGTAGCGGCAGGTGTCCTGATTCCTGTCCACCACTCTGCACGTGTCCCACACAATCTACACTAAGGGATGATCTGGGTAGTTTTACTCCATGTCTGGCTTGCCCACTAGATCAGAAGTTCCATAAGATCAGGGACGGAATCCACCCTGTGTGTTAGGGTATCGTCAGAGTGGTCCAGAGGATAGCTACCCCCCCCTCCTGAGAGGCTGTGTTCAAAAATCCCAGAAAGAGCCCGACCAAGACCCACTGACAGGAACCGTGGACAACCACGCACGTCCAGAATCTGGGCTGGCCCAGTCAATGCTTCCTTGGAGATGCCCAGAGGTCAGGCTGAGCGACAGGGCAGATGCTGATATACCCCCCTCCACACCACCCCGTCTGTCTCTTGGAACTGGGGGGCTGACAGGAAGGGGGCTCCTGGGGAACAATAAGGGGCAGACAAGACTCCTCACTTCAGCCTCAGGGCAGAGCTAGGGGAACCGCTGCTGGGCCAGGGTGAAGGAAACTCGGAAGGAACAGCCTACTGTGAGAAACTCTCTGGGGATCAGAGGAGCCGCAAAGGAGGGTCTGGGCTTCTGGAGGAAGGAAAGATGAAGAGGGAGATGGGGAATTTCCAAGCCCCGCTGACCTCACGCCCAGATGGTCAGCAGCAGTTCCTGGATGACTGCTGGGCAGACAGGAACGCTCCTTCTGGTCTGGGAGGGTTCTGCTACGTCTCCTGGAGAGGGAACCATTCTCAGGATGACAGGGCTGGAAGGGACTCTCCAAGGATAACGAAGCAATTCCTTCCTTGCCAGGTGGGAGACTCATCCAGGAACTCTCAGTAAATGAGGGCCATATGGGAACACGATGACAACATGGTGACGGCATGCAGTCCCCTCAGTCACATACCAAAAGGAGAGGGGAAAAAGAAGGTCTGATCATCCACCTCCCCTGCACCATCTCTGCAGGCTGAGGGGCACTACAGTGCTCAGCCTTCTGAGTCTCAGCTGCCTCATCCATAACATCCATAACAAAATATTAACAAACCCAACCTGGCATAAGATCTTTTTTTGGGGGGGGAGGGAGAAGGTTTTGTTATAGGGTGTGTGTACGCGCCAGAGAGACAGAAAGCGAGAAATCACCCCCCAGGGGGGATGGCCGCATCGCAATCCCTTCTCCTCCATTCTCCTCCCGGGATCTTGGGCACGCACGCACACGCGCCTGACATGAGTTTAAGCCACCGGGTCTGGACTGGAACCACGGCTGACTACATGGGAGTCCAGCAACATAGCCATTACGCTAACTGCTGGTCCCAATGATCCATTCCTGTAGCCTTCTCTTTTTTTCCCCTAGAAAGAGATTTTTGCTATAGGACGCGTGCACTAGGTGCAGAGATAGACAGAAAGCAAGAAATCACCCCTCCCCCCCAGGGCAGATGATCACGCTGCAATCCCCTCTCCTCCATTCTCGCCTTGGGATTTTGGGCACACACACACACACACACACCCCTGGTGTCAACCATGGTCGACTACATTGGAATCCAGTGACGTAACCATTACACCATTTGTTGGTCCCTCCTGTAGCCTTCAGACCTTAAGAAAGCTACTCTCCCCAATCCAATCCCTCCTAAGGATCAGGTAGACTTCCCTGACCCAGCAGCCCTGGAAAAGCTTTCAGGCATGCTGTCACCTCCCCAAGAGCAGTGAAGGCCTTCGGCTGATGTCCGCAGCCTTTACCAGGTGTTCCCCTCCTCCCTGACCTGTGCCCAGAATCCTATTGTGCCTGAGGACTCTGTGTCCCTCAAACATGGCCCCCTGCCCTGCTTCTCCCCTCCCCACTGTCTCCACTTGGCCTCCACACCACCTGCCAAGCACTTGAGCCAGAACTTGTCCAGGGGACAGAGCAAGTGAACCAGTGCCATCAACTGGCAAAGGAGCATCTAACTAAAGCCAGGAGAGGGGGTGACACTGTTAAGCATTACATGTGCCAAGCACTGGGTTGCATTGTCATGTATGTGACCTCATTCTCTTCCAATCACATGGAAATGAAAATTATTGTCCCTGCTTTTCAGAGAGGAAAGTTAGACAGCACTTTCTCTATTTTTCAGATGAAAAAGTGAACTCAGAGAGGTTAAGACACTTCCCTAATGATATGCAGCTGTCTAATGGTAGAACCTTTCCACTGCCCTGCACTGCCCAGAGAGGCAAGAAGCTGAAGCTCATGGCAAGGAAAGCTGTCCTGTTGTCCAACACACGTCAAGTTCCCAGGTCTAGCCTTTGAAGACAACCAGAGCCCAGTCTATCTCCGATCACCTGCATCCCCAGTGCTTAGCTTCTCAGGCTGGAAGAAAGCTTGGAGAAATTTAGTCCTGTGCTTGTCCAGTCTGCATAGAGCCAGGGACCATCTTTAGTGGCCCGGACCCCACCAACCTCCTCCCCATGATGAATCCTGGGGCAGGCTGTGGTTAGGCTGCTTCCACTGGCTCTCCTTCTGTCCTCTGGGGTCCCTTGGAATAAAGAACAACCCTTCTCCATTTTAGCCCTGAAAAGATGTGAAACCTAGTGTTCTCTTGATCGGCCCTTGTTATCAGCACTGTCCCCCAGAGGGACTGGCTTCCTCATCCGCCTCCCCTCAATCCTCTACCCCTTCCTTGT